CTGCTCGATCCGCACGTACGGCTGATACGTCTCCGGCAGCGACTCGTACCACGTCTGGAACTCGTACGACAGTCGCAGCCACTTGGCGGAGAGGCCGCTGGACTGCGGCGCCGCGGGCTGCGACGGATTCATGCCCGGCGTCGGCGTCGGCGTTGGGGAGTGCGTCCCCTGCTGCATTTCCTTGAACTCCGCGATGAAGTTCATCAGTTTCAGCAGCAGCCACGTCAGCCCGTAGCCGATCACGTCGTCGCGTGCGAGCGGCGGCTCGCCGGCCGAGTACGCCATCGAGGCGGCGTTTTCCAGGCGCAGCTTGCCGTGGTCATCGATCGGGATCCCCGCCGCCCGCCACAGATCCAAGTGCTCCGGATCCAGTCGCGTGCGTCGGCGGTTGGCGTACGATGCCAGATAGTCGAGGAACGCGAAATTCCAGATCGCGGCCCGGGTTGCGTGCGAAAAGAGAGACGCCCTTTGGAGGTGAGGCATCGGTGTGAGGGATTCAAGAAGCGGTTTTATCCCGAGTAATCGCCTGTTTCAGTCAGCTTGGAGTCTCAAACCTAACCGGACGGATGACACTCACGCTTCCCACTCTGGACCTGGGGTATCTAGTAGATCGTAAATAGTCAGGATCACCGAAGCGGTCAATATGTCGTCCACGTTCCCGGACACCGAGGCAGGCGGTGCCACTTCCGGCGAGCGCATGTCGTCTAAGCTGCCAGTGTCGAGACCCAGATCCTGGCACATGATCTGGATCGGAGACCCAACGGCATCCATGTTGTGCGAGCCGTCCAGGTTCCGTGCAACCGCCTGTCGTAGCAAAGACAAGGATTGATAATAGTAGTTGCTTGCTTTGAACAGCCAATCAACGCGCGAGACATTTGGGTACACTTCGGTGGTTGCTGGGCTGGTAAATAATGGGTTGACCAGCGGCTTGACTCCCTTGAGTCGCGCCAGATGCTTGCAGGCTACTGCCGCAGCGGCGTATCTTATAAAGGGCACACTGGCCGTCTTCATTGGGACCGATGTCGCAAAGAATCTGGCCGAGTCGAAGAGATCCAGCCTAGACATACGTAAGAGGCCATCAGACAGAATCAACCGCCGGTCAGGAGACTTACCACGGCGCTATGAACTCGGAAAAATGCCGGAGAAGGAACGCCATCTCGCGCTCGCTGTTCACCATCAACTCTGAGAAGAAATCGGCCGCTTCCTTTTGCCCGTTCTTCTGGTCCAGCACCGTGCTGGACGGCAGCGGCGTCGAATAGGGCGCCTGGTCGAGAATGCTCGCCAGCGTCAGGTCCAGGGGCACATTGAACGTGCTGTCGTAGAGCGCCGACGGGCCCATGCTGGTGCTGCCGTTGAAGTCGGCGGCATTCTGCACGTCATTCGACATGGAATTCGTCAGGAGACCAGCTTCCTGCTGCTGCTGACTCCTGCTGGGAGAGATACTGGACGAAGGAAGTTCCAGCGCCGTCGGATAGGCCACCGGCTGAAACGCCGCCGGATTCGACGCAGACTCGGTACTGGTGATGTCCCTTGACGGGTTCTCGAGGAGATTACTCTTCAGCGAGGCTTGCAGGTCCGGCCCAGCACTGGCCGTCAGACCCGTCTCAGAGGGCTTGGGATTCGAGTCCGGCTTAGGACTCGACACACTGTCCACCACGGCATGGTTCTGGTTCTGGTTCTCTTGCACGTTGGTGGACGGGTGAGCCCGCGGCGTATTGCGCTGGTACGGGCCATATCGACGCCGCACCGTGGCGCCCTCGTCGATGAACTTCCGGGTCTGGGGATAGCCCGGGCATTCAATGCCGGCCGTGGCACAGCGCTGGCAGCCGGGGCGTGTCTCATCGCACTAACAGCGTCAATATCATCATCGTCGACTCTTGGCTGAGGACTGCCAAGACCTACCTTGAGATGGCGTTGCTTACATCGTTCGCAGGCGCGGTTCGACGGTACGCCAGGCATGGTACGGACGTGCTCTCTAGACAGGACAGGAGATCGAAGATGCTTGCAGCCAGACCAGACGTACGCAGGGGGGTTGGGCAAAGCACCGCCTCGTCGAGGGCGTCGAGGGCATCGCACAATGGCGTGCGTTGGGACCCACCGGCGACGACGGCGAGAAATGGCGCCGATCAGAGCGTCGATCCTCCGGCCAGCTCCAGCGACACGAAGATGGCGCTGCAGACTACGGGTGCTTGGGCGGCATCGCAAGAGGCATGATATAGTCATGAGCGGAATTGCTGCATCATGCCCATTTGCCTTCTGCCCGAGATGGACTCGCTGACTCAGCAGTGGGTCTTGGCATCACGGGCCCACCCGTCATGATCCGCTGAGTCAGCCGCTCCTTCCTCCTCCACTGCTGCCATGCTGCGTCCGTCGCGCCTGCCATCTGGGGCGTGTGTGCGGCCTGGAGTCGTGTCCGCCATGAGCTCGTCCCTGGCCGAGCACAGCCAGAATCTCATCCAGCAGGAATGGATCCGTGAGTGCCCCCGTCCCATCGTGCGCGAACGCCGCTAATGTGCTGCAGGAGCGGGCAAACCGCATAATTTCATCTGTTCCACCTGTCGAAAGCCCGGCAATCTGGTCTACTGCGCGACCTGCTGCCGGTCCTACCACCTGGCGTGTCTGTCAGCACCGCCTGCTCCAGA